GTTGATTTTCCTAGCAACCAGCCCCCATCCTTAAGTGTTCCAATAGTCATCTCATTAAGATAGCAAAACATGATCCCTCTCATCACAGGAAATTCCAAGGGTTTTAGAAACTCTGTGTCAGAAAGAGTAGGGAAGACCAAATATAATCCTATATAACAGTGGTTCTCAACCTTCCCTAATGCCGTGACCCTTTAATATAGTTCCTCATGTTGTGGTGACCTCCAACCATAAAATTATTTTTGTTGCTACTTCATAACTGTAATTTCGCTACTGTTATGAATCGTAATGTAAATATCTGATATGCTATATGTGTTTTCCGATGGTCATGACCCACAGGTTGATAACCGCCGCTATATAATCTACACTAATAAAAGACAAACATGCAAATTGACCGTACCTTTGCTATGCCTTAAGCCACGCCCACTGGCCAATCAGAGCGACTATATGCAAATTAACCCAACCAAGATGGTGGCCGGCAGCCACAGAGTTGGATCGAGCAGGAGGCTAGGCTTTCCCGCAGCTGGCTCTGAGCTCCACTCAAAGCAACAAAGTTTCAATTATAGAAGGTAAATAAACCCCAGATACCTGCTTTCAGCTGGCCATGGCCACAGAGCTGGAGCGAGCAGGAGGCTTCCCTCCCGCCTGCCACGGGCGGCTCTGAGATCCACTGAAAGCAACAGAGTTTCAATTATAGAAGGTAAAATAACTCCCAGAATAAAAGAAGAAAAAGGAGAGGCTGGGAACTTCCGTTGCTGGGGGCTTGCCCAGCCTGAAGGGGGTGTGACCAGCCTGCAAACAGCCAGGCTGCCCAGGCACCCCAGTGGGGACCCCTGACCAAAACCCTGAAGGGGGTGTGTCCAGCCTGCAAACACCCATCAGCCCCTCACCCAGGCTGGCCAGGCACCCCAGCGGGACCCCCACCCTGATCCAGGACACCCTTCAGGGCAAACCAGCCGGCCCCCACCCATGCACCAGGCCTCTATCCTATATAATAAAAGGGTAATATGCAAATTGACCCTAACAGCAGAACGACTGGGAATGACTGGTCACTATGACACACACTGACCACCAGGGGACAGATGCTCAATGCAGGAGCTGCCCCCTGGTGGTCAGTGCTCTCCCACAGGGGGAGCTCTGCCCAGCCACAAGCCAGGCTGACGGCTGCTAGCACAGTGGTGGTGGCAAAAGCCTCTCCCGCCTCCTCAGCAGCACTAAGGATGTCCGACTGCAGCTTAGTCCTGGAGGGCTGCCGGGCTGCCAGAGGGATGTCTGACTGCCAGCCTGGGCCCGATCCCCCAGGGAGCGGGCCTAAGCCAGCAGGTGGACATCCTCCGAGGGGTCCCAGACTGCAAGAGGGCATAGGCCGGGCTGAGGGACCCCCCCAAGTGCACAAATCTTTGTGCATCGGGCCTCTAGTATTTAATAAATACAGTGGCTCACACACATTTCAACAGCTACTATGAAGTTCAAAAGAAAAAAGTGTCAATCTCAACTCAAACTATAATAAGTAGTTAGGAGATATAGGTTTGGGTAGTAAAAATGTAGTCCTCATAGGATATATTCAAATTAAAAACCTATTAATTTAAAACAGACTTCTATAAGATATAGAATAATACCCATAAACCTTATGGTAATCCCAAATAAAAAACCTCAAAAGACAAACAACTAAAGAGGAAAGAACCCAAACAAAACACTAAAGAAAACCAGCAAATCATGAGAAGATATCTTATTAACCATTATTTCCCAATAAATATAATTAAAAGAAAAATAAATTAAATTATTTTATAAAATAGAAACACGACCTACCTATACGCTGCTTATAAGAGAACCACTTCACATAGAAAGACACAATACAGACTGAAAATCAATGAGTGAAAAAACATATTCCATGCATGCATTAGAAAGGAAAAGAAAGTTGGAGTAGCAATACTCATATCAGAAAAAATAGACTTTAAAACAAAACATGTTAAAAAAAAGACAAAAAGGATATCACATAATTATAAAAGAATCAACATTGAAGCAATCTAAGAAGAGAACATAACAACTGTAAATATCTCTATGCTTCCAACATAGGAGCATCTAAATCTATAAAGCAATTATTGATAGACATAAAGAAAGAAATTCATAGTAATACAATTGTAGTATGGGATTGCAATACCTAACTCACATTTATATAGATCATCCAGATGGAACATTAATAAGAAATAATGGTCTTAAAATGTCAGGTTAGACCAGGTCAACTTAATAGACATTGATACAATGTTTCATCCCACAATTGCAGAATAAACATTTTTTTACAAGTGCACATGGAATAGTCTCCAATATAGATCACATATTAGGCCACAAATCAAGCCTCAATAAACACAAGAAGACTGAAATCATATCAAGCATATTTTCTGACCACAATGGTATGAAAATAGAAATCAACCATAGGAAGAAAAGTAGATAAAACACAAACATGTAGAGACTAAACAACATGCTACTAAACAACCAAATGCATAAAAAAAGGAAATCAAACAGCAAGTCAAAAACTACCTTGAAACAAATGAAAACAACTTTTCATACTTTATAGGATGAGCAAAAGCAGTTCTAAGAAGGAAGTTCTAGCTATATAAGTCTCAAGAAACCAAAAATATTCCAAATAAACAATCTATCTTTATACCTAGAGGAACTAAAAAAAGAACAAACAGAACCCAAAGTAAAAAGAAGAAAGGAAATAATTAAGGTCATAGTAGAAATAAATAAAAAATAGAAATTTAAAAACAGAAAAGGTCGGGGGTTCCAGTCAAGATGGCAGCATAGGTAAAAGCAGTACTCGCTGCCTCCCACAACCATATCAAAGGAACCAAGAATATACAATGGGAAAAGAACAGTGTTGGAAAAATTGGACAACATGCAAAAAAACACAAAAACAAAAAAACCTGCCACTATCTTACACCATACGCAAAATTTAACTCAAAATGGATTAAAAACTTGAACAGCCTGGCGTGTGTGGCTCAGTGGTTGAGTGTTGACCTATGAACCAGGGGGTCACGGTTTGATTCCTGGTCAGGGCACAAGCCCTGGTTGCCAGTTCGATTCCCAGTAGAGGGGGTGGGGCGTGCACGAGGCAGCCAGTAATTGATTCTCTCTCATCATTGATGTTCCTATCTCTCTCTCCCTCTCCCTTCTTCTCTGAAATCAATAAAAATTTTAAAAAATAAAGTACAAAAGACTTGTACATAAGACCTGAAACCATAAAACACCTAGAAGAAAACATTGGTGATAAGCTCCTTGGCGTGGGTCTTGGTGATTTTTTGGGTGATTCTGAAAGCAAAGGCAATAACAAAAAATAAACAAGTAGGACTAAGTAAAACTAAAAAGCTTCCTCACAGTAAAGGAAACAGTTAACAAAAATGAAAAGGCAACCTACTGAATGGAAGAAAATATTTGTAAATAATATATATGATAAAGGATTAATATCCAAAAAATATAAAAAAAACACATACAACTCAATAGCAAAACCCCCGAACAATCCAATTTAAAAATGAGCAGAGCCCTGGCTGGTATGACTCAGTTGGTGCATGGAAGGGTCCTAGGTTTGACTTTCAGTCAGGGCACATACCTAGGTTTTAGGTTCAATTACAAGTCAAGGTGCTTATGGAAGACAACCTCTCTCTCTTCCTCTCTCTTCCTCTCTCTCTCTCTTCCTCTCTCTCTCTCTCTCTCTCTCTCTCTCTCCCTTCCTGTCTTTCTAGAATCAATGAAAAACATATCCTCAGGTGAGGATTTTTTAAAAATGGGCAGAACATCTGGCTGGTATGGCTCAGTTGGTTGAAAATTGTCCCCTGTACTGAGAGGTTGCTGGTTCAATTCCAGGTCAGGGCACATGCCCAGGTTGCGGGCTCAATCCCCATTAGGAGGCCGCCGGTTGATGATTCTCTCTCATCATTGATGTTTCTATCTCTCTCTCTGTTCCTCTATCTGAAATCAATAAAGAAACATTTTTTAAAATGGCCCTGGCTGGTTTGGCTCAGAGGTTAGAGCATTGGCCTGTGGACCAAAAGGTCTCGAATTCAATTCTGGGTCAATGGTACATACCTCAGTTGCAGGTTCAATCCCTGGTCCAGGTCAGGGTGCATGCAGGAGGCAGCCAATTGATGTGTGTCTGTCACATCAACGTTTCTCTCTTTCTACCCCTCCTCCCTCCCTTCCACTCTCTCTCTTAAAAAAAAAAAAAAAGAAAGGAAAGAGAGAAAAATCAATAGAAAAAATATCCTCAGGTGAAGGTTAAGAAAAAAGGAAGGAAGGAAGGAAGGAAGGAAGGAAGGAAGGAAGGAAGGAAGGAAGGGAGGGAGGGAGGGAGGGAGTTTTAGAGAGAGAGAGAGAGGGAGGGAGGGAGGAAGGAAGGAAGGAAGGAAGGAAGGAAGGAAGGAAGGAAGGAAGGAAGGAAGGAAGGAAGGAAGAAAGAAAGAAAGAAAGAAAAAGAGAAAAAGAGAAAGAAAGAGAAAGAGAGAAAGAAAAAAGGTAGAAGATCTAAATAGACACTTTCCCAAAGACATACAGATTACCAACAGGTACACAAACCAATACGCAACATCACTAATCACCAGGAACATACAAATCAAATCCACATGAGGTATTCCCTCACAATTGTTAGAATGGCTAGTAGCAAAAAAGACAAGAAATAAAAAAAAGTTGGTGAGAATGTGGAGAAAATAAAACACTGTGCACTGTTGGTGGGGATGTAAATTGGTGCAACCATTATGGAAGAGTATGGAGGTTCCTCAAATAAAAATAGAACTATCATATGATCCAGGAATTCCACTTCTGGGTGGAATTGAAAACGCTAAACTCAAAAAAATATATGTACCCCCATGTTCATTGCAGCACTATGTACAATAGCTAAGATATGAATGTCTTCTGCATGCCCCCCACTGAGGATCGAGCTGGCAACCTGGGCATGTGCCCTGACCAGGGATACCTCATTTTATTACACTTCACTTTATTTCACTCTGCAGATACTGCATTTTCATCAACATTGAAGCAAAACCCTCTACCAGCCACATGATTACGACTTGCTGAAGATTCAGATGATAGCATCTTTTTAACAAATTTTTTTTATAATTAAGGTATGTACATCATGTTTTTAGACATAATGCTATTTACACACTTAATAAATAGACTACAGTATAGTGTCAATATAACTTTATATTCACTAGACAGCAAAGCAATTTTGTGACTTATTTTACTTCCATATTTATTTTATTGCAGTGGTCTGGAAACAATCCTGCAATATCTCTGCGATATATCAGTATGTACACATGGAATATTATTCAGCCATAAAAAAAAGAATGAAAGCTGCCATTTGCAACATTGGTGGGCCCTGAGAGCATTATGCTAAATAAAATAAGTTTGCCCAGCTGGCGTGGCTCAGTGGTTGAGTGTCGACCTATGAACCAGGTGGTCACGGTTCATTCTTAGTCAGGGCACATGCCTGGGTTGGGGGCTGGATCCCCAGTGTGGGGTGTGCAGGAGGCAGCCGATCCATGATTCCCTCTCATCATTGATGTTTCTCTCTCTGAAATCAATAAAAATAAAGATAAGTACAATGGAGAAAGACAAATACCATATGATCTCATATGTTACATTTTTTTAAAAAGCTCACGGATGCTGGGAACAGATTGATGGTTCCCAGGGGCTGGGGGAGGGGGTTGGAGTAAATGGTGAAGGTGGTCAAAAGGTGCAAACTTCCAGTTATAAATTGAAGGAGTTATGGAGAGACTCCAGAAGGAAGCAGCGGTGGCGCTGGGTGTTTTAAGTCAAATGGGTGATGAAAAGGACTCTTGGAAAGTGAAAACTTTAGATGAAATTCTTCAGGAAAAGAAACGATGGAAGGAACAAGAGGAGAAAGCAAAGAAAATGCTTAAAAAATAACACTACTTCTTCAATTAATTATTTTGTACTTCTAAATGTCGCAGTCTGATGACTAGGTTCCAAGCAGGAGTCCCTTGAGGAGGGGGAGCTGAGGGACCACCATATAGAGATAAGGATCAGGAAATCGCCCTACAGAAAGGAAGACTCCAAGGAGAACGGGCAAGCACGCTAGAGTGAAAAAGAAAGAGCAGGAGCATGGGAAAGGACATGGAAAAGAACATGATACCAGGCAATAGGGTAGTGAAGACCTGGGAGGGGGGAGGAGGGTAAGAGCTGGGAGGAGGGGGGTGAAGGGGGGAAATGGGAGATATCTGTAATGTTATCAACAATAAAAAAATATAATTTAAAGAAGTTTAGATTATTGATAAAGATAAAGAAGCAGCTCAATAAACATCACACAAGCGAGAGAGAGAGAGAGAGAGAGAGAGAGAGAGAGAAGGAAGGATAGGAAGGAAGGGAGGGAGGAAAGAAGGAAGGAAGGAAAAGAGAGAGAGAGAGAGAGAGAGAGAGAGAGAGAGAGAGAGAAACGGATAAAGCACACTGGGAGTGAGAGAATCAATCAGAAGAGGAGAGAGATGGTGAGAGGACAAGCCAGGAGACAGAGGAACTGTCTAGCCGCTGGCAAGGAAGGGAGAGCACAGGCCATGGTGTAGAAGGAAGTTTCTGAACATCATCAAACATTAGAGAGGACTACGACTATACAATAAAAGCCAGCCACCAGAGCCACAGCCCCCAGAGCCGGAGAGAGAGAGAGAGAGAGAGAGAGAGAGAGAGTCTTGAGCTGGGAGGCAGCCGAAAGCCAGTAAAAGAAGAGAAAGACATGCTATCTGACTTACAAGATAGCAGCATCAAGAGGAAAACCAGCTCAGGGGGTCCTCCTCATGAAAACCAGGGTCAGGTTCTGAGGAGGAAGAGGCGGAGGAGAAGGAAGGAGGAGGGAGGTGGGAGGAGGAGGAAGAACCTGCAGTAACTCACAGGACTCCTCGGGACAGTCAGCCGAGGAAGTGAGTGAGGAAGAAATGAGCGAGAGACCAAGCACACATCCTCCTTGTTCCAGAGTCATAATTTGACTGAGATTCCGGGGAAAGTGAAGAAGTGGAGGAAAAAGTGGGCGAGGGCACCCCCGAGCAGCACCCTGACCAAAGGAGAGTTTGTGCCTGACACCCCAGCCCCATTGCCCATCATTGTAGCCAGGCCAGATTTTCTCACTGAGGGTCCCCAGGTCCTTAAACACTTTGTTGATCTGATCAATCTCTGACTTCCCAGGGAACAGTGGCTTCCCAGGCCTGCAGGGGAGGGCAGGTGGGGGGAACCAGGCCTGCAGGGGAGGGCAGTTGAGAGGGACAGGCCTGAAGGGGAGGGCAGTTGGGGGCAACCAGGCCTGCAGGGGAGGGCAGTTAGGGGCAACCAGGCTGGCAAGGGAGGGCAGTTAGGGGCAATCGGGCCGGCAGGGGAGCAGTTAGGCATCCATCAGGCTGGCAGGGGAGTGGTTAGGGGGTGATCAGGCTGGTAGGCAGAAGCAGTTAGGGGCAATCAGGCAGGCAGTCACCGGGATTGGGCCTAAACAGGCAGTCAGACATCCCTCGAGGGGTCCCAGATTGTAGAGGGTGCAGGCTGGGCTGTGGGACACCCCCCCTGTGCACGAATTTTGTGTACTGGGCCTCTAGTATGCTAATGATATGCAAAGGATGCTCAACCTCTTGCTATGATGTGCACTGACCACCAGGGGGCAAACGCTCCAACTGGTAGTTTAGCTTGCTGCTGGGTCTAGCTGATCGGGACTGAGCAAGATGGGCCAGACATGCCCTGGAACTCTCCCACAGTCCCTCTCCAGCTGGCCAACCTCCCACATCCCTCCCTTGCCCCGATCATGCACCAGTGGGGTCCCTTGGCCTGGCCAGCACCCTCTCACAATCCAGGACCCCTCGGGGGATGTCAGAGAGCCAGTTTCGGCCCAATCCCTCAGGCCAGGCCGAGGGACCCCACTGGTGCACGAATTCATGCACCAGGACTCTAGTATATATAGAAAAGTCTAAGCAACCTCGACCGTTATGACTGGATGACTGGCTGGTAGCTATAATGAGCACTGACCACCAGGGGACAGACGCTTAACACAGGAGCTGCCCCCTGGTGGTCAGTGCACTCCCACAGCCAACTTCCCATAGTTCTTCCCCCCGGCCGGCAGGCCCTGATCGGCCCCAATCGATGGCCAGACCAAGGGACCCCACCCATGCACAAATTCGTGCACCGGGCCTCTAGTAGTTAATAATACTCTGTTACATATAAAAGAATTTGGATATTGTTAAAAATTTTTATCCAAAAACTTGGAAATAAAACAAACAGCAACAACAAAAAACATATGCCTCTGAATTTCTATGACATACAGGGGAGAAATGTAAAATTTAAATAAATGGGTCATAAAAAATTCCAAGGGAAATTAGAAAATAATTTGAGAATAAATGAAAATAAAGACACAACCTACCCAAATTTGTGGAATGCAGTTAAAGCTAATAGCAGTAAATAAATGCCTGTATTTAAAAATAAGATTGAAACTAATAATCTAAATTTCTACCTTACAACACTGCAAAAAGAACAGCAAACAGAAGGAAGGAAATAGAAAAAAAATAGAGTGAAAATAAAATAGAGAATAAGAAAACCATAGCAAAATCAACAAAGCAAAAAGTTGCTTATTTTAAAAGGTCAACAGATCAGTAGTAGATGAGTGGATTAAAAAACTGTGGTACATTTACACAATGAAAAACTATGCAGTGGTAAAAAAGAAGGAATTCTTGCCCTGGCCAGTGTCTGCCCTGGTATAAGTGTGCAGTGTTTGATTCCCAGTCAAGGGCATGTACCTGGGTTCGATCTGGTGGGTTGGGGTGCTTGAGGGAGATGTGTGTCTCTTACATCGATGTTCCCCCCTCTCTTCCCCCATCATTCAACTATCTCAAAAATCTATGGAAAAAAATATCCTTGGGTGAGGATTAACAAAAAAAAGAGAAGGAACTCTTACCTTTTGCGACAACATGGATGGACCTGGAAATTATTATGCTAACTGAAATAAGCCTTCACGGAGTACTCCTACAACAACCTGCACAATCACTTTGGGATCCTACTGTGAGACCAAATACCATATGATCTCACTTACATGTGGAATCTAGTGAACAAAATAAACTGACAAACAAAATAGAACCAGAGGCGTGGATATGTGGAACAAACTGACAGCTGTCAGAAGTGAGGGGGGAGGTGAAGACTGGATGAAAGAAGCTAAGGGATTAGACAAAGAATAGATAGTACATGCATAACCCATAGACACAGACAGCAGTGTGGTGATGGCTAGAGAGAAGGAGGGGCAGGGCTGGGTGGAGCAAAACGTCTACTCTTTTAACCAGAAAGCATCATTGAAAGAGGGAAATGGGGACATCTGTAATAGTGTCAACAATAAGAATAAAGTTAACAGGCGAGGCCCCTGAACCTAAGGGGAGGGAGGTGGCCCAATTGGAGCTGCACGGGGTTCAGGACAGGAGGCAGGCAGCTGGTGGACATGTGTTTTGAAGAGCCGGCCTTGTGAAATTATCGGCTGGGACACGGCTAACTTCTGACACTGCTGCAGCCGCGAGATCATGGACACCTGCCAGCAAAAAAATTCTAGAGATTAAAAATGGCGGCAGAGTAGGAGGATGCTGCATGGTCATGCTCCCAGGAACAAGCTGGAATTACAACTGAAATACGAGAAGGCTTCCTGAATAATCAACGGAAAACTCACAGGAGAGAACCCTGATACCCAAGGACCGAAGGTGGAGCCGGCATAGAGACTGGTAGGAGGAGCAGAGACGTGACCCACAGAGAGCCAGAGGAGCCACCACAGCTGTGAACAGCACCCACCAGAGGAGCTGCTGCCAACTGAGGAGCAGCTGCTACCACAACCGCCCGAGGAGCAACCGCAGCCCGAGAAGCCACTGCCACCCAAGGAGCAGCCACTGAACGACACAACATCTAGATATGGCGGTACGATAAAACATGGGTAGACAAAGAAACCCCCAAAGGAAAGAAAAGGAGGACTCGCCAGAAAAGCAGCCAAGTGATACAGAGGCATGCAACATGACAGAAAAAGAATTCAGATTAAGGGTCCTAGAGTGTATAAACTGGATGGAGGAAAAAATCAACAACTTATGCAAGAAGCAAGAAGAAACAGATGAAAAAATCAATAAATTATGTAAGAACCAAGAAGAAATGAAGAGTGATATAGCTG